TCACCTAAGATTTATAATTTCACCAATGTTTTAAATCCTTTAGATTATATGCTATATGTTTAAAGGTAAAATTTTGATTTATATTTTTGACTTCAATATTCTGTTATTTCACTTGCATTTTCAATTCTTTAAATAAAATAAAATTCTCTTTACTTAAGGTACAAAATTCTATTAGAATTTACTTCGTTTTTTTCCTTGCTTTGGGGAAGGACCAGACTTTTCGGGTGAACTATTATAATTAAAATACATTGAAATAATTCATCAGCTAACTCTGTCTACAGAAAAGCACAAATTTTTGTAGAAGAGAGATTTCAATGTTCCTTCCACTGATGAAGTGACATTAAAGTTGATTGAATTCCTCTTCTGTTATGCTCTTTTTTCTTTAAATTCCATTAAAAATTTTTTTGAATAAATTTATTTAAAAGTTTTGGTTTTAACATTTTTAAAATTCTTTGTAGCATTTATAGGATTGTTTGAAATTTATTAATTATCAATTTCAAATTTTTTAGTCTTCATGAAACATTAGTTCTAAATTTCTTACTTTATTTATATACTTTATATATATATATATATACACACTTTTGGTACTGCTGATTGCAACAAAAAAGAAAAGTGCAGTAATAGATATTATAGTAGTCTTGCATACAAAATTTCAATGTTCTACCACTAATCATTATTCTGTCATGCAAGATACATTCACATATCATACACATGTCATGAAAAGTATCCTTTTCATCCACATTACAGATTGTTTTGGAATAAAGAATACTTTACTTCTGTCTGTACACACAGACATTACCCCGTCCCCCCCAAAAAAACATTGAAATCTGATAACTGAAATTTTTCCCAATTCCAAAGCTTCCTTTGTTTTCTACAAGAAAGTAAAACGGTTTAAAAATGTGAATGCTGAAAAAAAAAAAATTAAATTTTATTTAAAAATAGATTTATTTTTAATATTTAAATTTTTAAATTATAAAATGTATGAAAAAGGAATAAAAAATTATCATTTAGATATAAATCAGAAATGTGGCTCTGTTGAAAATTCTTCAGCTGTTCCTCACAAAAGATCAAGAAATTTCAACAACTTTTTACAAGAAATTTGAATAGTTTCTGTATTTTGTAATGTTTATGATTATATTTCATATATTTCCTTTTGGGTAGCAGCCTACCTTTCGTTATTAAATTTTGATTTCCTGACTATATATGTAAGATATAACAAAATGCGATAGCTGCTTAAAAAAAAAAAAAAAAAAAAAAAAAAAAAAGGGCGACCTTAAAATTAACATTTTAAATTTGGTGCTCTCCCACTAAATTTATCTCTTCTCCAAAATTTGAGATACTTCGACGTTATGTAACGCTACACGTCCTTTTTCAGGTCCTTACAAAATTTTAAAACAATATTCTGAAGTTACTTTTGAAATTGATTAGCCTAATCTTCTAACTAAAAAGAAATTGTTCATTCAACCAGACTCAGACCTTTTAATCTGGCTAATAAATTTAAACTAACAATTAGAAATAGCAGAATTTCAGTTTCTGTGCAAAATTAATTTAATTTTCCAAAATTCCCTATTAATTTTTTTTTTCCTGATTATGACATTTAATACCTGATCTAGATTTTAAACCCTAACTATGACAAATTATTTTTCTCAATCTTGACCTTTCCCAGTCTGGCTCCTTTCCTCTCCTACCTTTCCATCTTCCCAAAGTTTTTCTATTCAAAATTTGCTGTATATGTCCCCCATAGACCAGAAGATGAGAAGAGAAAAAACTCTACGAACACATTTTGAAAATCTGGATTTTATACCAGATTTTCTTTCAAAGATGAATGTTTTATTTACTTTTTTTGACACTAGGTTTTACACTATGTGTATTAATCCTTATATCTTCTCTTTAGGGAGGATGCAAGAGGTGATAGCACATGCCAGCTGTCCCCCTAGGTATATATACTCCTAACACCCCCTTAAATGTTTTTCTTATTTTTGTTTGTTAAGAGATTCAACTATGGTCATGAGACTGACTTAATTTAAAAAAAAAATTTTTTTTTTTTACCAATTACAATCCTCTGATCATAGTTTAGCATAGAAGTGCTAACACACACAAATTTTAAAACAAAATGTTTCTTCTTTCTTCTTATTGTAGGGTAAAACTTACATTTTTTTTTTTTTTTTTTTTTTTTTTTTTTTTTTTTTTTGCAAAACTTAAAAGACTTCAACTTAATTATACAAGTTAATTGTCTTAATTTCAGTTTTTAATTTTGTATAATGCTGTATTGTTATTAATATGAAAGATTTTAAAATGAGAAACAGAAAAAACTTTAGCAATTGTACAATGCTAAAAACCAGTTACTATGTTTACAGAACAGAGTTTTTTTTTACCTGTTGTAATTAAGCATCCCCCAAACACCAGCAAGTTAGTAAGCTGCTGATTTCATTGGAGGGGACATGCCAATTTAATCGTCAAAGTGTTAGTGTATTGCAATCCTATTATCATTTTTTTATATTGAAATTTTTGTTGTATTAAGCATCTGTATCCTAAATAAGAAGAATTTATTTAATTAATTACGAAATTAAATATTATATTTCACTGAATATAAAAGTTAATTTCATTGAACATGAGTTAAATGGATGTTATAAATATGTAAATTAAAAATGTTATAAATATGGATGTTATATTTTACTGAATATAAAAGTATATGAAAGTTCATAATTCAAAACATAATATAACAGAAATGTGTTCATCTACAAAAATTTGAAAGACTTTTTAGTGAACCTTTACTTTGAAAGACTTTTAGTGAACTTTGAACATTTACCTGGTGGAACGTTTTTATCAAGAGACTTCTTAAGCAATTTTCATTAAACATTCAAAAAGACATTGGACATTTTTTTCAAAAAGAATTAAGGACTATTAAAATTATATTTGTCTTAATTTATTAATTTATTTAGAAATTATATTGTTACTGCAATAATTGTAAATTAATTGTTGAAGTTTTACATAATCTATGTATGAGAAAGGTCATGAATTAACAGGAAATTATAACAGGACACAGGTAAACCTAACTGCTATGTCCCTTGATGCTTCTTCAGTTTTAGTATACTAAAATTTCTGTTGCTTCACTAATACTTTTCTGCCACCCTGCTCTCCTGACCTTTCTTTTGAAGGAGAGGAATATGTAAGATATAACAAAATACGATAGCTGCTTTAAAAAAATAACTGGCAACTTCAAAATTAACATTCTAAATTTGGAGCTCTCCCCGTAAATTCACCTGTTCTTCCAAATACGAGATCTTTTGACGTTATGTGACACTACTGACTAACCAGTCCATAGATTAGCTGTACTTTTACATTAAACTTGGTATAAATGCTCTGGCAAACTAACTGCATCACTCTTTTCCTAGCTTCCACCTTGCTAATAGCTCCTCGCTTGAAGGCTATTGACTGTTTTCTTTATACTGCCATTAAATTTGTAGTTAATTTAAAACAAATTATAAGTTAAATTATAACAAGATTGTCTATTCTGTTGATAATTTCCTGGATCTAAAAGCATGAAACTACTAGGCATATTTATATTTTGTTTTTTTAAATGTTTTGTATATATATATATACAGTATATGCACACACTGCATGACAATTTTTATGAATACATTTTATACCTTTATTCTTAATGAATGAAGATTCTGCATGTATTTTTTTGCATTGTGGAAACACAGCAGCATCTAGAATCACCGAATTGTGAGCACAGTCCTGCACATGAGCATTTGCACCTCGAAGGTCCAAATTTTGAATTCTAGATTGATTTTTAATTATTTGATGTTTTGCGTGAATTCAGTAAATACTGTTTAACACAGAAATTTTAAGGTAAATGTATTGCCATTTGGCAAAGCATAAGATATTTTTCTTTGAAATTTAATCAGAGAACTCAGCAGTTTAAAAGAAATGTGCAAATGTGCTGCTACTGCACATTTGCAGTATCTTCCACTCACCAGAATGTTGCCATTTGGCAAAGTGTACAATATTTAATTTTCAAATTTAATCTGTCCTTATTGATGAACAAACTAAATGATTTAAAAGCTACAAACACAGGTCTTAATAATATTTGTTTTTTATGTTTTAATCTAGTTATTATATAAAAAATGCCTTTAATTCACAATATGTCTAATTAAAAACATTAAATATTTTTATGAACTTACTTAAGCTGGACTCATTAAAATTCTTGCACATATTTTTTTTTTCTTTTTTATAATGACTATTTTAGTTACTGTACAAACAGTTAATTTATAAAATATACTTGAATTATCATTACAGATATTTTTTTTATTCAAGAGAAGAAATAAAAAAAAAAAAAAAAAAAAAAAAAAAGTGACATTAAAAATAAGTAGATTATTACTCATCAAAAGGTATGTTTAAAATATCTTTTAATATATAATATATTACTAATCAGTGAAATAAAACTATCTTCTCATTTGTCAATGACAAGAAAATTATAACTAAAATACCCACTGTATGAAGAGTATGTCTTTTATTGTTTATGAATCGCAGTATTATAATTTTTTTATGCTCATTAAATGGTTTCATATAAAAATACTGGAAAGATCTGTTTTAGTATTAAAAGGTTTCACCTTCAGCAAAATAGCACACTTCATGAAATTTATGGTTGATCTTATTATTTTACATTAAAATGTTTATTAATTACACAGGGATATTTTTCATAATGCTTTAATTAAGCATTACGAATAATTTACAAATTGGAATTCTTACCCTAAGGAGATTATGCAAAAAGTTATACAACTCTTTTAGCTATAAAATAGTAATATTCCCCTTATATTATTATTATTAAAAACTCCCCCCTCCAAAAAAGAGATATAATGTATATTGGAGAGCAAATTATTCTTAAATCTCATACAGTTCTATGTTAAGTTAATATCTTTTGAATTTCTGCATTGTGATGCATGAAAGAGGAAGATAAAACTGATTATAAAAACTACAGAAAATAATTTGCTTACTTTTTTATATTTCTCTTCACTATGTTCTTTTCCTTCTTTTAGATGACGCAATTCAACCTGCAGCGAATTTACTTCTTCTACCTTCATTTTCATTTCCTTTGTTGCATTTTCTTCAGTTTGCTCCAATTTTTCTTGCATTCCTAATGCAACTTTATTAGCCTCATCTATTTTTGCATGTAAAGAAGCAATTTCGTCCAATTTTGATTGAAGTTGATTCTCTTTTCCTTCTAAAGAAATTGCTAATTGCTCTACCTTCTGCATCAATTCAAGCATTTTCTATATGAATAAAAGTTTATATTCATAAAATCAACAAGTCAAAAAATAAATATACCTCTAAAATTGCACAAACATCATTGAAAAATTATTATTGTTATTTTTTAATTCTCTAATATATATTTGATGGAGTATTATGAGAGATATATAACATTAAATTTTAGGAAAGCTTATACCAAATCAAAATAAAAATCTAAATCAATAATTTTTAAATGCATGAATAATTTAAGAGAAAATCATTAAAAAAATTACTATGTATTTATGGAAATGAAGAAATAACACAAATAATTTAAATATTTTCAGCATTTTTAAAGTTATCAGGAAGAAAAGCTGTACCAAAATTTTAAAATTAATTGCCTCTCCCTCCAAACAAAACCCAGAACTTTTAACAGCATCTAAAGCAAGGGCAAGGAAGTAAAAATATACCCAGAAATAATAAATTTTTTATCTTAAAATAATGCATTTTTTTAACTTAAAGATATTAATTAAACAGAACAAAATATATGTAAAATAATACCTCTTCCTTTTGAAAGCCTTCAGATTCAACCTGAGATTTAAGCAGAGCAATATCATCCTCTAAACACTTTCTTGTAGCTAAACTTTCTGCCAATTCAGAATCTCTTTGACTAAGTGCTTTATTTAAGACATTTTTCTGATTTTCAAGTTCATTTATGGTCTGAGAATGGCTTTCTAAGCTTTGTTGTATATTAAAAATTTCTGAATTCTTCTCCTGAACAACACTTTCTATATCTTTGATTTGATTGGATTTAGTATTTAGCTTCTTCACTTAGTAACTTAATTTGCTAAATAACAAAGAAAAATAACAGTAAAACTCAACAAAAAGTACAATTTTTGCATTGTTGAAAATAATAATAATAAAAAAAAATGCATAAATCAACAGCAACATAAGCTAAACAAATATATATAAGAAAATAGCAAACTACAGGAATCAAAGCTGTAAAATAATAATGCATAAATTAAATTAAAATTAATTAAAATATTGCATCATAGATCTTTTAAGTATGGTTAATATTTTGACACTTCATTTACAAATTTCCATCCAGATTTTATTCCTCTTTAAGCTAGATATATTCAAACATCAACAAAAAACAATAAAATTAGGAATGCAGGTTTAAACAATTTTTAAACAAAAGAAAACAAACAAGTTAGAAATTCAGACATTAATGCATCAATACATTTATGTAAAAACATCTATTGAAGAACAAATTTTGAAACTTAAGAAACATGAAATGAAAGCATTGTAATTTTTAGACCATTTAAAGCATCAATTTATACTTAAATGTTTTTAATAGTTGAATTAACATAAGAAAATACCTTTTCTTTTTGAAGATTTTCAGACTCAATTTCAGATTTAAATCTAGAAATTTCATCTTCTAAAGCCTTTTGCACAGCTACGTTTTGAGTTAACTCTAAAACTTTCTGGTTTAATACTTGGTTTAATTCACTTCTCTGATTTTCAAGTTCAGTTATGGCTTGAATTTGACTTTCTAAATTTTGCTTCAGGTTATAAATTTCTGTGTCCTTGTCTTGAATAATCGTTTCTTTATCTTTGATTAGACTGGATTTAGTTTTTAGTTCTTCATTTAGTGATTTAATTTGCTAAATCATAAAAATAAATCTTAATAATATGCAGTATAAGTAAAAGCACTATGTTAAGACTAAAAATAAATATAACAGCAAAGTGATGAGAAGCAAAGCAACAAAATAACAAAATAACTGTACTGTCATGTTACAAATAATTTTGTGTTTTAATTAATTTTCAAATTTTAATCAAATCAATTTTGAAAAAGAGATATTTCAAATAAAATACATTAGTAAGGTAAAAATAAAAAACATAAAAGCTTAAAATCAATTTTTTACAAAATCTGCAACTTTAGATAAAAATATGAATATGCTAAAATTTCATGTGAGTCTGAAAATATACTGGGAATACTACACCAATACTTATTCCAAGATGCATGTCAAAACCAAACCACATATTTTTTTAGAAAACTAAAATCTTAAAAATACAGCAGTTTATAAAGCATATACAGGATACTAATTCAGAAGTCAAACAACAAAAATCAGCGTTATATTTACAAAATTTTCACAGGACTAGTTTCAATGGTTTTACCGAACCGCCATCCTCAGCTGCAAAACCGCAAATGAACAAGATAGGAAATAATGATTAGATAAGATAAGAAAGCGTGAACAAAAATAAGCAAGTGGCACCATCTGTTAGTGAAACCAGAACTAAAACATAATTTCTTTAAAGGCCGAAGGCAAAGTTGGATTGGAATTAGGATCGTTAACTAGAACAGAAAGATTTTTATGAATGTGAAATGCCTCTAGAAAATCCAGTTCTCCAATGGAAGATGTTTTTTGAATAATTTTGGCAGCAGAAAAATTGAAAGTGTGATATTCGGACCAACAATGTTGAGCAACAGAAAACTTTTGTGTTTCCTTTTTTCTAACATATGCCTCATGTTCCTTGACACGAAATTTTAAGGCTCTCTTAGTTTGGCCAATGTAAATTAAACCACACTGGCAAGGAATCCTATAAATACCCCAGGAATTCATATCCAGAATGGGGTCCTTGAGTATGGAACTCGGAATTTTATTGATGAAAGAATGAACAACCCGAAAGTTAAATTTCTGCAAAATATGTGCAACTTTATAGCTAATTGATGGAAAGAAGATAATGACAACAGAGTTTAAAAATGTATTTATCATCGTTTATAATCTCCTAAAACAAGAGTGTGCTTTTTAGTGTGTTGAGATGAGAATTTTTTAACTGCTTGATTAATAATGTTGGGTGGAAAGCCCCTGTCAATAGCTATTGCTTTTAAATAATTTAGTTCTTCATCAAGGGCTAGTTTGGAAGAGCAAACTTGAACAGCACAGAAAACATAGGTATAAAATGAAGCTAACTTTTGTTTAGTCAGATGACATGATTTAAAGTGTGGTGGAAGGCAAACCGATGAAGGTTTACGGTAAACCATAGTACTGAAGTTGGATGTATTACGTGTGACCAGAATGTCGAGAAACGGAAGAGAATTGCAAGTCTCAAGTTCAAAAGTGAACTGAATAACAGGATCAATAGAATTCATTGTTGAAAGAACTTTATTTAAATCATCTTTATTACCTTCAAACAGGGTAAAATTATCGTCTACGTAGCGGAACCATGCCGGGAAGTTTAAAGTTTCAAACAATTTTGATTCATAATAATGCATGTAGATATCAGCCAGGATGGGACTGTGTCTTAATTATATACAGGATGACCGGAAAAGAACTGATGAAAAACAGAATGACTTATACATCCAAAATTAACACATTTATTGCACTGCAAGTTATACAGCTGGAACCCCAGAAATATTTAGTACATCTCTATGTAAGTGCCATATATAGCTAATATAATGTCTCAGTGATATTCTACCTCATTCTAAAGATTCAAAGGCATTACTGGTATGACTTAAATCTGACTGTTTCTGTAATTCAGGTATGAAGAACTCCACTCTGTACCAGTCTTCCCAGGGGAGGAAAAAATCAAGTTCTTCTTTCCAACTGCATAAGCCACAATGCAATAAACAGATTTATTTCATATAAATGTGTCATTTTTTATCACTTCTTTCCCTGATAGCCTGTAGTTAAATTTATTTAATTTGAAAATTTTCAATCTTTCTTAAAAAAAGAAAAAAAATATTGCTTTGCATACTAAACTCATCTGAAATAAAATTGCTCTTAAAAAAAGGCTTTGTCATTCAGCTGAGTTCTTGAATGCAAAATGATTTGGGGATGCCTAGCAGCCATAAATGTCTGTTGAAGAGTTATAAATACTAAATATGGTATTGTTATTAAACTATGCAAAGACACTATATTTTGTGAGCAACTGATTTTAGGATCTATGAAACTATATTTATGATTGACAATGAAATCTTCAAATCAAGCCCCTAGAGAAGTTTTCTAAGAATCTGGCCATGCTATGGATATGCTTTTTAATGAGTGACTTTGTATTAAATAGTGTTCTTACAGATACCATCAAATATTAGCTATCGTGAAAAAAACATGGCTATAATTTTTATGCTTGTATACAAGCTTTTATCCACATCTATGATCAAATTTAGGACATTTCCATTTTATTTATTTTTTTTTTAATGTTTTACAAAGGATGCAGCTCAGATTTTAAGCATATAATTATTAACTACTATAGAATAATTTGACATATTAAGCCATTTTTCACATTCTTTACATTTTTAACAGCTTTAGTAAGATGGCAACTTTTAATATTAACTCATTAACATTAGAAAGTACAACAGCATCAATCCTTTGCACCCAGCTTACACACAAGCACCCCAATTTATATTTTCATTTATTTTGTTTTGTTTCTACATTAATTATGTAAAGATAATAAAAAAATTATTTTTTCTCTTAAATGAATGAAAAATGTATTTTTGCAACATATACCCAAAACTAACTGGATATGTCCCGATTATGATTATTTCATTTTTAAAAAGGATTTTCAGAGCTATTACTAATAAAATATAATTAAAAAATTAATGAAATAAAAAAGAAGCCAAGGGCTAATAGATTTCCTAATTAATGTTTACAAGATACATATTTGCAAAACAGCATGTAAAGATTATTGATATGTAATGAAATATTATTGAATTAAATCAGATAGGTGTGTATGGCTTTTTTATTGAATTACAATAACAAAATTTTCACATATTCATCTGAATTAAATTTTTAAAAATAGATACCATATTGTTTTATATTTTATAATTTATACCAACAGAAAAATTAAACGATGATAAATACATTAACAGCAAGTTTAATTTCAAATGGCCTTGAAAGAAGAAGTAGGGGTCCGCATAATTGGAGTTCAGGATAATTGAAATTTGGGCAACTGAAATTCTATCACACTCACATATGAGAAACATGAAGAGTTTAAAACTATATTATAATACACACAATGAAACTAAAATTAAGTTATTATGGACAGAATTTGAATTTCATTTAAATCACATGAAAAAGCATTCTAATGTCTTTAATGAATTGGAAAGCCTAACAAATTTTATACCTCACCAAGATTTGTAATTATATCAGCTGCTTCCCCCTTTGCTTGCTCAGCTTGCATAGCAATCTGCTTATTCAGATTTTGATTATCATCAGTTAGCTGTGTAACTTTTTCAAGTTGAATACTTAACTCATTTTTTAAATTTGAAATTACATCTTCTTTTTCTTGTAAAGCGTTGTTAAAAATCACCAGGTCAGCTTTAATCTTTTCATAGTCATTTAACTTACTTTGTAACTGAATAACATCAACGGAAATTTTCTAAAAGGGGGGGAAAAAAGAATACACATTAAATATTTATTATAATGAAAGCATTTAAATGATTTCACCATAAAAAATGCCACTTAACAGAATTTAAATACTAGAAATATCCACTCAACAGAATTTACCATAAAACTATTAGTTTTTGCATAGAAAGGAACAATTTTAGCATTCCTTATTTTATTAACCCCTTCCGGTAAAATGACGAGTCTAGCTCGTCACCGGTTTTTCATGTCATATCGCACAATGACGAGCTACACTCGTCATTGGTTTTTCATGCCATATCGCACAATGACGAGCTACACTCATCATGCATACTGTTGAATATGATAATTAATTTAGTTTAAAATTTCTAGTGTACTGAATTTGGCAACACCTTTTTCACTTGTGGAAATATCACAGATCCTATCACATATTGTTAACGTTAGAATTTCTTGGTACAAGTCATGGCCGAATTGTTGTTAGTCTGTAAGATTTCATTCTTGTAAAAATTTAGTGTGAGCATCGATCAATATATATTTCTGTAAAGGAAAAATGGTACTTTTCCGTTTGGCCAGCGCAAATTAAGTCGCCGAGTGTTGAGTTTCATGAAGTGTGTAAGATTTATTTATGGTTGGTGTGAAGAATTAACTTCAGTTAAATGGTGTGAAAAGTTCTTTCAATATTGTTCCAAAATTCAATATTTAAATATTTTTTATTTATGCATTCAAAATAAAAAACATTTTAGAACTAACATTTTTATGTGTATACTGTGTGTTGTCGCCAATAAAGTCTGCTTGGCGAGATTTGCGCCGACGAAACGGGAAAAGTACCGGAAAAACGTGTTGTATAGTAAATACCGTAATGGATAAAAAGTTTTGCAGACTATGAAGGTCAAGGTGATCGGAGCGATTATGAAGAATCAGAAGAAATAAGTGTACACTTACCTGATACTGAAAATGAAGATAATGATAGTGAAATATTACCAAGAAAAAGATTCAAATACTAGGATAAATCCAAAACGAAGTATAAAAGAAATTAAACAAATAAAAAAGAAACAGTTTTTCACAGATGATTCAGCTCCCCTTACCTAATGTGTGCATGCGCTACTCACAAAAATTCTCCTCTGTCCAAGACAGACTGGCGACATTATTTGCTGCTAATACAAAACACTTATTTCCTTGAATTTCATTATATAATATAGTCAAAATGATAAAAAAAATTACAATTAAAATTAAAGAGTTTCTACGCAAGGCAGGCAACAAGGCAGATTTTTCAGTGCACAAAAATGAAAGTTTAATTTTGGTCCCACTTGGCAAAATGACACTGAAGGTGCAAAAAGACTTAATTCATTATTCTGCTAAGTTTCAAATGTACACAAATATGGTTGCTATGGTTTAAAAAAAAAAAAAAAAAAAAAAAAAAAAAAAAACTGATGTGTACACCACATGACTTCCTTGTACGGAATATTTAATTATACGCATTTTTTCTTGCATTTCATTTAAACTTATTGGATTGAATTAAATCTACTTCACAGACAACGCATAAACCACAATAGAATAAATGCATTCTTTAAAATTCACTCTATTTGTTTACCATAGCGACACTCTGGCGCTAGGATCACTTAACAGTATTATATTTCGTTCATATTATACCTTGGAATGCACAAAATTTATATCATTTAAAGATTTATCTAATTGTTGCCACAAGTTCTATTCAAATACTATAATAAATCTAGAACGATGTATAAAAGAAATTAAGCAAACAAAACAAAAAAGAAACAGTTTTTTCACAGACGATTGAGTATTTCTCATTCAATTAATTCAGCTCTCACTTCGCGACAAGGCAAAAATACATAAAAACTCAAAATATCTGTATTAAAAATTACAAAGTAAATCTTATTTCACACTTATTTCCTCGAAAAAATTCCAGAAAGCATTAAGCATTATTTAATTCGCAATAATAAATGAAGGTGTAATCTTTGTTGTTGCCAAGCTAAGTTTCTCTAGATTGCCAAAAATTCCACTATCCTGCTGTTTCAAATGTAAACAAGCAATGGCTGCCATCAAAAAAATTATTAGGCTTAGCTGCACTTAAACAACTTTAAAATCGTTGATAATTCTAAAAATATTGCATACAGATTTACTAAAGGCATAAAAACCTTAACCAGAAGATAAGAACAAGATAATGCAATCATTTTTAAAGCAAAAAATGTACAATTTACAAACATATAAGAGTAAAGATACTGAGATCACTGAGCCGGATAACAGAGTGGATATATATATCTAAATATATTTATATACGTTTTGTGCGGCCGATTGCAACCAAAATACGAGGTGCACATCTATATATTATAGCAGTCCTATATACAAAATTTCAACGTTCTGAGGCTACTCGTTTATCAGTTATGTGACATACGTACGTACGTATGTACGCACGCACGTTCGTACCGACGCCACGAAAAATACTCTTCAGAATTCATTTTAAAGCAGTTTTATAATTTTTTTTTGAGGAAAAGAATATTTTATTTTGTCCTTACATACAAATATCACATCGCTAAATTGCATTCGATAAATTGCATAAAATCAAAAACATCGCTAAATTGCATTCGATAGCGGTCAAAATGGATATTTTCGTTGAAATATGCTGCCTGAAATTTTTCCCGATTACAATACTTCCTTTTTACTTCGTACAAGGAAGTAAAAATTAGGGTTATTCGCACATAAACAACTTTTAAATTGTTGATAATCCTACATTTACTGCACGCAGATTAACTAAAAGCATAAAAACCTTAACCGGAAGATGACAACATAATTTAATCATGCACAATTTACCGATTAAAAAATGCACAATTTACCAACAAATAAGAATAAAAGAATTGAGCTCACGTAGTCAAATAATATAGTGAGTATGTATATATATTTATATATTTTTGGTGCTGCTGATTGCCACCAAAGATTGAGGTGCACAACTGTATATTATAGCAGTCGTATATACAAAATTTTAATGTTTTGAGGCTACACATTTTTGAGTTACGCGAGATACATACATACATACGTACGTACATACAGAACACTACAAAAAAATCTCTTCTGAATCCATTTTATCAGTTTTATAAATCGTTTAGGAAAAAGAGGCCTTTATTCTGTCCTTATGTACAGATGCCACACAAAAACATCGTTAAACTGCATTCGATAGTGGTAAAATGGATATTTTCATTGAAATATGATATCCGAAATCTTTCATGATTACAATACTTCCTTTACTTCATACAAGGAAGTAAAGATATTTTTTCAACACCACACAATGATAAATATGCAAAATATTTTTTTATTATGACACCAATAAAATAGGCAGCCTATTTTTCTGTGATTAAGATCTGGGAACAAAACTGAATTCAAACATGCTCTGAGTAGAGAGAAGGAGGGGACTCTGCATTAGGAAAAGCTGCTAAAATGTGATTATAAGAGATAGCTGTCTCAAAATGTTTATTACCAACCTTGTGCCAATTTTCCACTTATTATGAAGAAAAGTTTATTGGAGTACCCAACATTACGAACAAGTTTATTGGAGTATCCAACATTACCAAGTAAGTGATGATCAAGTAATGTGCATCAAGTAAGTGAATTTTATATTACCTTTTTGTAATGAAGAACCTGATGTGACATTTTATGGTGCTCAAACAGGCATGCCAGGTTTTTGAAGTTCTAATAAACTGAATTTGAATGTTGAGTAATAAGTTTGAAGATTTTAATACTTGTTCTTCAAATATTTACTAGAAGAATAATTTTGTTTTCTACATGCAAGTTAATTACTTCTTGTTCTTGAAACATATATTTGTATATGTGTTGAAATCTAAGAAGAAAATGTCACAAGACAAAGCAGATATATTAAAAAAGAAAGGAGTATCTTAAGCAATGCCATTATGCAACTATTTAAAAAAATCGAAAGTGAATCAGATAAATCAGAAGTTAGTGTTAGCTTGCAGAATTTTATTAGAACAGTTCAATGTTAAACCCTATGCACTTTTTAATACCGATGCAAAATTTGAATTAGTTTTGAGTGAAGACAAATTTTAAAATGAATATGAAATTGCAGAACAATGCTGCGAGAAGAAACAATTATGAAAATTTAGGCTTAAGAAACTTATTAAAAAAACTTAACAATGACTTGAATGCTTATATTTCAGCAGTTTTGATACAGGACTTTTTTTTTTAAGTGGCTTAATTACACTAAACATTCAGTAAATGCAAAATGTACACCAATGTTAAACTACCAAAACTTTTGATTCTCATATTTTATGGAGACAGTAGTCAGTGGCTTAATATTTGGAACAGTTTTAAGTCTTCAATCCATAATAATGAATGATTGAACAAGGTACAAAAATTAATTACCTGAAGGCATATTTAGCTGCCAGTGGAGTTCAAGAATTTTCATTATCGCCAAAATATTATGATTCAACAAATTCAAATCTTGAACGATCATTTTGGAAGGACAGGCATTTTTATAAATGCTCATATGAATAATTTGCAGAGCGCTGACCCATTAAAAAATTCACATGATAAAAAAGGATTCGAAATTTGAATGATAAAGTACAAATACAGATAAGATGTCTTGAAGTATTAGATGTTATATCGGATTATTACAGCACTTATTCAATGATTCTAAAATTACAGGCTTGGAAATTGACACTTAAATTTAATAGAACACAAAATATCAGCATCAATTACAAATTAAAAGATTTAACGAAATTTTTACACATAGAACTGTCATTCTGTGAATGCACAAGGTCAACGATTTTGCAACAGAAAGAAAAAAAAAAAAAAAAAAAAACTCAGATTGGTGACAATCTTCCCTCCCTGCAATGAAAAACACATCTGGTCTTTCAAAAAGAATGATGGCAGATTCCTTTCCAGCTTATTGTTAGGCGAAATAGAGATATTTTGAGAAAGAAAAGTGCTTGCTTATAAATGTTTAAATTCACATCATTTAGCGCAAGACTGCAAAGCAGAAGTAAGTTG